CCTTAAGCTCCCAGGATCAAGGTATGTTGGAGATAGTTTCCTGGAGCCGCTTATCTTCAGCGGTTGGACTGCGTAAAAATTAAATGTTTACTGGACTAGAGGGCAATGACTCAAAAGTTGCTTTGCAAAGAGAAAAAGGTTGAATAACCTGCCTCTGGATAGGAGCTGGGACTCCAAGAAGCTTGTTAGCTTTGGGAACAGCAGAAATACCTGGCTTACCCCACAAAGGGTGGTGCAGGAGCTTTAGGTATCTATGGAGTTATGTGGGAACTGCCCGATGCTGAGGCTAACTGGAGGCAGCCCTCCCGTGGAGAGGTGTAGCCTGCAGGCCCCTCAGCCTTACAAAGGAGTCTTGGGTTGGTCCCATCCTGTCCTTGATTGCTCTGCTTGGATGCTTCAAGTGGCTGTGCTGTGAGCTGCTGCCTGCGTATTTGTGTGTGCGCCAGCAACCGTCTTGCTTGATAATCTGGAAGTGCAGAGAGGCTACTGAAACACCTTGGGGCGGGGGGTGGGGGCTGTTTTCCCATGTAAACCAAAGGTACTTTGAGCTGTGTTTAAAGTAGGAACATTTCAACAAGTCACCTTTTACCTCTGAAAAGCCATATGTTTCCTGAGCAAGATGAGGCTGCCTGAAAAGTCACCTAGAGCAACAAACTTTTGTCATTTAACAAGAAAGAGTCCTATCCAACCTGAGGACAAATCGCTGTGGGAATGAGAAAATCCATACAACCTGGAGGGTGGGGGAAGAGTAGGTGCTTGCAGACCAACAATTGCTGGGAATGTGTCAGATAAAGGTTCACTGTGTTTTAAAATATTATTTCAACTGGTTTACAACCTTGCTTGAAATTCCTGGAAAAAATATGGTATATCTAGGTGAGGCAAGCCACGAATCACAATTTAAAACACAGTTGCTCTTGTATGGAAACAGGGAGAGCGAGTGTGGCAGACGAGTTGTGCAGCCTTTGGAGTGCCTGCAGGGCTTGGTTTCCTCTCTCCTATTACAAGCTCTTGAAAAAGCACAGCTCTTCTCCTAAATCCTCATTTTACATCCAGCCACTGTGCCTGCAGATGGCACCACTGCAAGGCCCCTCCAGACAGATGGAAAAGCTAGCTTAGTGACCAGCCTGTCCAAGAACAGCAACCCTGTCCTAAATTTTTTTTTTTTTTTTTAATTTGAAAAATTGACATATATGACTGCGGATGGCACTGGGATAAAGATGAGAGACCTGCCGTGGCAGCTGCTTCTCTCTGGAGATTTTTCTCTTAGGTAGGGGAGCTCTAGGTTTGCTCTTAAAGCATTTCCAAGGAAAACTGCTAGAAATGCTTGGTCAGGGAAGGCAGGTGCTCAGACAGACATAAAGAGGCTCTTGTTCAGCAAAGGAGCTAAAAGCGATTGTGCCGCTCTGCCAGGACAAACCGGCTTTAAGAGCAGCTGCAACAAGCCAGGATCCATCCTGGTTTATGAATGCCTTGCAAAGGGATTTTGGAAAGACACTGATCCTGGCCAAAGGCTTGACTCGGCCTTCCTCAACTGGCCAGTGACCAGGGCTCGCCGTGCCGGGCCGCCGTGGGAGAGGGGTGCACCTGAGAGGAGTGTTCGCTCCTTCGCAGGGCTGTGCTGACATAAAGCTCTCCGGCCAACTCAAGGGACAAATCCTCTGATGGGCAGCCAACCATCTCTAGGGGTGGCAAGGTGCAGCTTTTGTTTTCTTTTTTAAGACAGCGGAAATTCAAATGATGCTGCGGTATGGTAATTAGAAATGGTGTTACAGGAAAATTCCCCCTTATGGCAACTTTGAATGTTTAGAAAAAATGTTTTATACTCCATTGGCATTTACACACACTACCATGCATGCATTGCTCCCCCAAGAAATGGCTAGGTGTCCTCAGACCAAGATGTCAGCACGAAACTTCAGCATTAAGGAAGATGCCACATAGTGGAAATCATCTTGAGCAGATGTGGAAGCTTGCTTGAAAAAAAAACCCAAAGCACACAAAAGTCTAACAAAATGGTGACAGCACAAGCACGGTAAAAAAAGTCTTGGACATTTAAAACATACTCTGTCCACTTCTGAAGTAATTAGTCTTCGAGCAAAGCAATCGACAAGATCTGTGCAGGGAAGAGGAGATAGAGGTCTCTGATAGGAAAGACTGTGACACAAGACATATACTGGACAGTCGTGTAAGACAAACATCTTAAATGATAATGTTCCAAACTCCTTTGTAACAGACATTCACAAAATGCAGGTTCATGACTTAAACTCAGGGTATGCAAATACCCCTGTGGGCACCAGCAGTACTCACAAAAAGCAGGTATTTCATCAAAACCAAGCTGCCTACCTTTGGGCAACTGTAGCATATACGCACTGCAAAACCAAGTAATTTGTTATTTACTCTTCTGAGCTGAATGTAATTTCTTACTGCAGGCCAGCTAACTTACCTCTGTGTATCATCTTACAATACAAGTGTTACCTTCTTCGGGGAGTTATTCTCAATTAAATGTTCCTAGAAAGAACAGCAGTACTGGGTTATACTTTACTGCGTAAGATTTGAAAAGGTAGCCATGAAGAGCTGAAGCTGTAATCAAATGAAATTAGGCAAAACCCTCATAAATACTATCAAATTAAAATTAAGAGCCTAAAACAGGGCAGATTTTTAGGAAACTATGTGACAAGTAATAGAAAAGGTAGTGCGAAAGCCTTTTTCAAATGCATCTTGGAGGCAAGAAAACTGCCAAAGAGCTGTAAGATGGTGTGGGAGTCATTAGGGAAGCTAAGGCCGTGGCAGAAAAGTAAAACTGATGTTTTGCCACCAGAGGAGCTTTGGGGTATTCCCAGACAAGGTATTTTGTCATCAGCAGCAATAAGACAAAGAGACCACTGAAAACTGAAGTGTCAGGACTCGAGAACCTGCGTGTCTGTGACATGAAGGGCAGCAAAGCCTCAGTACCAGGTGCCAGACTCAGATGGTCTCCAGCAGGAAATGCATGAACAGGCAACTGTGCTGTAAGTAGTTCACCACTCACTTCAGCCCCTGCCACGTGATGAAAAGCAACTGGATTTAGGAAAAAAACAGACTGGCAAAACCTTTCAAAGAACCTGAACTGCGCTAGGACCGGGAAAAAACACCCTCTCCAGGCTGAAAACTAGTGGCAAGGCTGGTGGTGACCTGAGAAAGAAAGTGCAAGTGGCCAGCACCTAAGGACAACTGCCCCAGGGTTGTTCCCATTCAACACCTCCAAAACAATCTGGAGCATGGGCTGCCAAGATTTGTTGACTGTGCAAAATGCTGCAGGACACTCAACACTGGAAAGGTGCGGGAGGATCTTGTGACCAAGTGGCTGGGTTATTGAAATGGTGGGTGACACTCGAGGTTGCTAAACGAGAAGTAATACATGTAGTGTGTGTGTGAGGGGGGACATGCACAACTCTGACATTGCAGGTCTCAAAGCCCTCCTGTAATGTTGTCCAACTCCACCAAACAAACGAGCAACCTTTGTTGGTTTTGCTCTGAGTTGCGGGACAGAAAAAAAGTGGGTCATTTGTAATCTCTGTAACGTCCATCATTTTATAGTTACCAAGTTGGGCACTGGTTTAGGTGCTGGACCTCAAGCAGACACTGAAATCTCACCGAATACACATGGCCTCCAGCTTCTGCATTCCCTCAGACTCCTAGCATGACTTTCTCAGCCTGACTAAACTGTTATCTAGACCATCACCATGAAGTGACTTTGGGCACCGGGCACCAATGCTCACATGCCTTTTTTTTTCAGGAGCACAGTAACTCAACTTTTCACTCTCAAAACACTTTTCTCCAGCCTGGAATCATGGTTAGGAGTCTTTGCTCCATCTACTCCAACTTGTGATGCAAAGCAGGACAAAGAAAACCAATGTCATATGTGGATAAAATATATTTAAAGATGTCATCAGCTTCAGTGTCTGTCTGAGAACTCACAGGAGGTTGCTTGTGAGCCCTTAGATGTGTCTATGCATAGCTTAAAGACTGGCTATGTATGTATGGGACCAGGACCTATGCTTTGACTCTATTGAAAAATATATTTTAATGCCTCTTTGCATGTTTGACTGAGCTCATTTCTCATTTGGAGAATCTGTATCATTTCTACGTATCAAAAATGGTGTCAGCTTTGTCAGTTCCTTGTCCCTCCATAGATCTGTGCAGGATTTTTCCATTCCTTCGTGATTTCTACTCTCCTCCCCTCTCCACTGGTTTCTCATTGGTTTTCATACATGGCCTGTCAGACTAATCACTGACGTCATTTGTTCACCCGTCCACACAGTCTTTTTTAAATGTCTTCCCCCGTGCATTTAAAAGTTTACATCTGCAAACCATGGATTTCAGCAGCCAATGCTTTTTCATCACCACTGAGGTTAGAGCACTCTGCAAAACACCATTTGCAGCAGTGCAGCGACAGCACTGTGCTTTTTTTTTTTTTCCCCCCCCCCAGCATCACTTACTCCATCTCCCCAGGCAGCCTGAGGCTTTGCGCGGTGGCTTGTTCACTGCTATAGCACCTGGTGCACCTCTCTGCCTTTGCATGCTCTAGGTCATCTGTGCCTGGAAATGTAGAAGTGTTTATTCTGAGAAGATCCTGTCAAAGATCCTCCTTACTCACTAATGGCCTGCAAAGTGCTTCATCATTCCCCTCTGACCACATTCTGCTCTTTCCAAATACAGAACAGCCGTATCTGGTGAGTACTTCTGGGTTTTCTGGCTCATTTTGATTTATTTTTTTTCCAATTTCAGCCAAGAAAAAAGGTTTATTTTACAGATAGGATTGATTTGTCTTTAAATATAGCTAGAACAATTTGTTAGTGTCCTCAGACACCCAGCTATTGTTATTTTTTTCTTGAGGCGATAGGAGTAGCTGAAGACCTTTTTTTATACAGCTGAGTTATTGTGCTGTCCCTCTATTCTTTTTTCCCCCGCCCACAGTTGGTGTAATTGTTACAAGGTTTATTTTTTATTAATTAAGGTCAGGCTTCATTATTATTTTTATTAGTTATTCTTATTTCTGAGTACTATTGTCACATGGTCACTTATTCAAGGAACTAGTTTACTGAAAGCTGTCTTCTCACGTGTACTGAATCACAGGTTTTTGGGTAACTGGAAAAACTCTTTCCACAGATCTCCCACTTAATCATACTTTTTAAATACTTCCCCTGAACAATTTCACTGTAAGAAAAGGCTACAGAGCACCATGCAGTTATGTCCGGGGTGCTATCTTGCTTTGTTTCTCAGTTGATGCCTTTTCTTTAGGCAACTGTCAATCCTAACCCAGTCTTCATCTGTCGTACGGACATCTAAAGTCACTACCTTAACTTGGCCATGCCATCATTTGCAGGTTGACGAGAAACTCTCCCTGGCACAGCATATTCTTCAGTATCCCCAGCCAAAACCTCCCATGACAACGTAATTTTCACACAAAGCAGAGAGGTTATAAAATAAATCACTGTTTTTTTTCTTTGGGGATTCAGGAGTATATAAAAGACCCTTCAATGCCTTGATGAAATTGTGTGCCAGAGCATGTTGCTTGGCCCTTAGCTCTAGAGTGAATGTGCTTTTTAGCACATCTTGCAACCCCAATTCACAATTGCCCTTGCCTATTCCACCTTTACCCAGTGGGTTAGACGGGTGAGGTAGCAGTTCTTCGATGTGGCCACGAACATTAAAAATATCAGTTAACCACATTTCTTCCTACCTTGAGGATTTCTATTTCCTCGTGCACCTTGCCCAGATGCAGTCTGCTGTTGAAGCTGAAAACGTTGCCTCTTCTCATCTGTTGCGTTCAGCTTGATCACGATGCCTTTCGGGGACCGCTTGAGCTCCTTTTCCACAGTTACCTTAGTACCTTCCCAGCTCTTACAGCTGCTCTCCAAGCTATGAAATCTATACCCCCCTCTACCAGAGGGCCTACATCATCCTCTCCTCGTTCCCATCCCAAAAGAAAGTGGCCCAAGCATTTAGAAAACTCACACCTAAAACACCTCTCACAGTCTCGTACATCCAGTAGATTTTCAATGGTGACTGGGCTTCCCTAAAGCCGTCTGTAGCCCATCCAGCTTTCCAAGTTGTCTTACTATCACTCCCAGCATCGATCACCACGTATAGGGCTTGCTGGATGGTTTCAGGAGCCTGCCCGTGCATCATCCAGGTACACCTCCAAGGAGACAGCACTCCACCGTGTTCTGTGTTAATTCTGACCTCTCCTCTCAAAAGGAGGTTTATTATCTGTAACCAGAGTATTTGATCATTATGTGCAAGTTCTAGGACACCATGGCACAGGTACCCGATAGCAACAACCATAAACCTATAAAGAGCATGGTCTTCTCCAAAACAAATGACGCTCTTGTAGCAGAAGTATGAGGTTTAGGAAAGCCAATCTCCCAGCTCACATCTAGAAACAAGAATAACTTTCTACGCAGCTTTGATCTCTCCTACCTCTTGGCTAAGAAACAAGTTAAACAGAATAATAAACAGGTTACCAGGGAATCAAAATTTGCTCCAGTGAAGGCTGTGAGCATCACATTTAGGTCCATCTAAGGAATCCTCAAATGAGGAAAAGCTAACTCACACGAAGCTGAGTTGTGTGGGACAGGTGACAAAGCACCTTCAGCAGAACAGTGCTGGGTAGAAAATACAGGACCTTAACTGAACGGACAGACAAGTAACTCTTTCAGTTCTTAAATACAATGTAAAATAAATGGGATCCAGGAAAAGGCAAAGGCAGGGAGTGGGCTTTTTTAACACAGGGAAGAAGATCTAGGCTACTTAGTGGCTAGGTTAACTGAACCCTCTCTAGAGCCAGTAAGAACATCCCACAACTATGTGGTAAGGTGCAAGGGGGGAGATGCTCCCCACCCTCTCCGTGGGGAAATCTAGTAGTCTTCATCAAGAAACTCAGTGTACGTGGTCTCAGAGCTACTTTGCCAGACAGGGTCTCTGAGGATGAGAGCTCACCTTTCAGATGAGTCCTAGGGAACTTCGCAGGGGGAAGGCCATTCTGCATGCCACAGGATCAGAAACACATTCAGCAGGGAGGCAGGGCTCACTTCTGCAAAATTCCTGACACTGTTGAAGCCCCTCGTTGAGAGGCTGATCTCAGCGCAGGGAATACACAGCACAGTGGCCCTAGCAGAGAGCTGCATCTCTCACCCCAGCTCACAGGCTGACTGTGTCCCTCAGCACCTCATGGAGGCAGGATGCTCACAAGCGGGTCAGAGCAATCACTAGCATGTTTCCAGACTGCCTGAGTAAATCTCAACCAACGTGGACTTCTGTAGGGTGGGGGAGCTGAGCCAGCATGCCTACATAGGGGAGGACCTCCCTGCCAATCCAGGGAGACATTATCCTAAAAGGATTGTCTTGGACAAGTGTTCACGGAGGCCACGAAACAGCAGCCACAGTCCCAAGAGGGATGCTGAGAGAGGGACTTCCCAGATGCCATGGAACCCCATTCAGTTGGGCAACAAACATTCACATTAACACGTGGACCCTGCGTGAGATAGGACTGTGTCCCCTGCATGCCAAGATCTGCTCTGGTGTGCTAAGAACCAGACTAGACTCAGCTGCAACATGCTCACAGGTGAGCATGGTCAGCTGGAAAGAGTAACTGACCTGTTCCTCCAAAGTTCATTTCATCAATTCATTATCTTGGTCAAGAATAGGAAAAGGCCCACTCCATCCATGGCCAAGCTGCCCCTGCAACCAAGTCCTGCAGAAAGTTTAGGCCAAACAAAGATTTTTGAATGGGCTGGGGTCTAAGCGTAAATGAGATATGATTGTTGCCTCTGAGATGAATGTGGACCGGCAGGTGTTCAGAAAGATCAAGCAGCCAAGACTTGGGTCTTCGCTAGACAATTTCTTCTGATACTGCTTCCCGAGCAGACGCTGCCGAGAGGTGTCCTGGAAAAGGTTAGGGACACAAGAAGCAACAATGAGAGAAGTGCAGTTCCTAGACACTACAGTTCCCACCAGGGCTCATGGTGGAGAAAAACAGGCTAGATGCTCCCCAAAGAATGGGAAGGAGCCCACAGAGAAGAGTTAAATAGATTGAAGGTCCGCATCTCCTCATATTCAGGGCAGACGGCCTGGCTAACACTGGAGGCTTTGGGTTGTGCTTCCCACGCTGAGACATTGCTGAGGCAAAGGATCAGCGTTGCACGTCCTACAAGTGAGGTCTCAGGGGCTGTCACACTGGTGGGGGACTGGAAGCTATTGCTGGTGATACAATTCACCAGAGAACGGCATCTTGCACACATGGGTGGGGGAAGAGATCTCAGTTTCACTGCAAATGAAGTTCTGACAAGCAGTGTGGGACTGCGATTCCCCACGTGTCCCGGTACACAGGTGTGTGGCTGCTCTCCTGAGCAATGACTGCTCCAGACTGAGATATTGGTCCTTCCGCTCTCCGTCCTTGAAATCTCTCAGCGTACACGCTGTACAGTCCTGTGGGTTTTTTAAGCAGTACCAAGAGGCCAAGGCACGCATGTCATGGACTATGCACTCGGGGAAGCCAGACTTAGCTAGCCACTCATGGAGATTTCTGCATCAGCGAAAGAGCAGAAAATGCTGCAAAGACATGTATGGGAAAGGGATTTGCATAAATCAGAAGAGCCTCCAGGCAGGATAGAAAGCGATCCCTGATCTACTGCATGTGAGGCATCATCACTCGAAAGAAAAAGCCCAGATTAACATACTTCCTCTGGCTTTAGCTCTTTTAGGAAGAAAAATAAAAAGGAAAGCAACAGCAAGGGTTGGGCAAGGTGGCATGGAGGCGAGGCCCGCGACGAAGTCCCTGTCTCGAGGCAGGCCCCGAGGTACACACGTCCCGTCTGCCCCAACAGCCGCACAAAGCCAGGGTGGGGGGAGCACACCTCCGCTGCTCCCGGGAGACGCTCTCCCCGCTTCCCCCCGAGAGGCAAGGATGGCACTCACCAGTCAAGGGTCCAGCCCCAGCAGGCTATCGGGGGAGGAACTGCCATTTTCTGGCACCAGCGGCAGTGCCCCCGCCGTGCCCTGGCCTGGAGGTTTCCTCAGCTGCTGACTTCTCCTGCCATTTGCAGGGACTCGCCTCCCTCCCAGCTCTGGGCAGCCAGCTGAGCCCACGCTGAAACGCCAGCACGTGCCTTAACACATCTTGTGGGCACAGGCAGAGGACCTCACCCTGCCCAAACGCCGACCCCCTCCCCACTGGGCACGCTGGTGCTTGCAGCTCAAGTACACAGCAGCGCTAGCTACCCAAGCCAGCATAGGGAGATAAACTGTTGCACCCCTCGGCCCCTATTTTATCTACTTCACCTAATCTCAGGGATGATCCAAAAACTGTACTGCCACCTGCTTTCTCTTCTTCCCTTCAGGATCTTTTGAGAGAAGCGTTTTTCTCTGGAGCTTCACTCGCCTTGGCTGTGCAGCCTGGGTCCACTGCTCAGTGGACGGTCCTGCAAAACACCGCGTCTCAGCAGGCTGCTCACCCCCTCCTGCCACCCTGCCGGGCCCCAGCCTCCTGTCACCAGAGGAGCATCTGCAGCGGCCAGCCAGGAAAATGCTGCAAGAGAGGCCGGTCCCGTCCGGCACGCCCGAGGGGTGGGAATGCCCCGTGGGAGGCCCCCATCGATGTGGGCTTGGGGATCCCGTGGAGGTCACCCCCCCCCCCCGCCCGCCTCAAGTCACGCAGCACCCGCGGCAGCACAGGGAGAGCCCACACCCAGCGAAGCTGTAGAAAAGGAAACTGTCCCATTTAATGACCCCCTTGCCCCTGTAACACAGACGTGAGCGCACCGCCGACGTGTGGCAAAGCAAAGTGCACAGTGAGCGGGACTCGGCCCCCATCCCCAGGTGAGACAGGGGGGCTCAGGGTGCCCGACGCAGCACAGGGACCAGGCGGGCACCCGGCCAGCAGCAAGGACAGAGAGAGCCTCCAGGCTCGGTCCAGTTGGCACCAGTTTCAGGTCCAGTTTGCAGGGAGGGACGGCTCTTGTTTGGCTCCGTGCGGCGCAGGGAGGGCAGGGGGCAAGTCAAGCATACCAGGACGGAAAACAGATGAGGTGGATCTGGGGGTGCCTGGGGACAGGTCCTGGAGAACGGCACCGTGGCGGGTTTGGAGCCTCCCTGCCCAAATCACGGTTTAACCAAAGCAGGGGAAGGGAACAGAGAAGGGGCTGGAGGCTGAGCATCCCAAGGGAGGGCACTCAGGTCTATCTAGCTATTCCCATTTGCAAGATATCCGGTGGCGGAGGGGTGTGGGATCTGCCAAGCACCCCAAAATGGGAGCGAGCCTGGGCGACAGACATTTACCAGTGGCTCCACGTCCCTGACAGTCTCTCCCAGGTGCAGATCAGGCACCCCCGTGCCAGGAAGGGGGTCCAAGGGAGCGGGGCCTCCCCTCATTATCTGATGGAAGCGTCGCTGGGGGGGTCACGGTCAGACTCCTCGCTCTCCTCGTTCGGGGCTGACTCGCTGTTGGAGGCTGGGGTGAAGGCAGGAGACTTCCTGCGGAGAAGAGAAAAGGGCAGTGGTCACAGCACGGCCTGGGGGGGGGGGGGGGGGAAGGACCCAGTTTGGTGTTGGCAGGGGGCACCAGTGCAAGGAGGGGAGAAGCTGAAGTGCCCCTTTTGCTCCCCTGGGGCATGCGTGGGTCTGCAGGCATCCTTGGGTGCTGGGGAGGGTGTCCCAGAGGACACCAGCCGAGAGGTCCCAAAGCATGAAGGAGGGCTAGGGGAGATGCCTGAGGAGCCTGCCAAGGCATATGAGGCTAGGGGTCAGTGAAATGGGGAGCTACACAACGTCCCTGCACAACAGCAGCTTCTCTCTCCGTCAGGGGTGTCGAGCTTCACCTGTCAAACAGCCTCCTGTGTGCAGCTCACCTTCTGCGGAGGCGGCACCAAGACCTGTGTGCAGGCTGGTCGCCAGGAGTCCAACAGCCTCCGGGAACTGCCCCCTCTCCGTGCCACACCAGAGCAGGGCAGGGGTACTACCCCACGCCTTCAGCTCCCTCTCACCACCACCCTGGCTCCAGTCCTTGCCCAGAGCACAGGTACCCTGGCCCTCCTGCCGACTCTCACCTGTCCCCAGACTGGGTGATGAGCCGCCGGCAAGTCTCCATCTGCACATCCAAGCCTCGCTTCATGCTGCACATTTCCATGTACTCGTGCAGGTGCCGGTTCATGTCGTTCTTGGCTGTGGCCAGCTCCAGCTGCACAAGGGAAACGGTGCAGAGATGAGCCTGGGGCACGGTGCAGGGCGGGGGGCATGGCCAGACCCAAGGCTGCCACCTCCCACTACCAACTACCTGCCCCAGCATGCTGACTCCCTCCCCCGTTTCACCCCCTTCTGTGCCATGTCCTCCCCACTTCCCTCCTCCTCCCACCTCTATTTGGTCGATGGTTTCCTGGTACTCCTTCTCACGGCTCTTGAACAGTGACTCTGTGTCCTTGATCACCTTCTCCAGGCTGTCATCCTGCTGTTGGGGAGAGCAGACAGCATGTTTAGAGGCAGGGAGGCGGCCAACATGAGAAACCAAAGGCCAGAGGGAGAGAAATCAGAGAAACAACTAGCAGAACTGGGAAAAGAGGAAGAAAACCAGGAGTGGCGCAGTATAAATAAGGCACAAGTCAGTCCTGCCAACACAGGGTAGAGACCCGGGACTCGCCACACTGGGCAGTGGGCACATCAGCCCAGAACAAGCTCAGCAATGCCCAGAAGTTTTGGAGAGCACAGACCATCCCCAAGCACGACGCATCCCCAGGGGACTGCCAAGGGCCAAAGATGCAGAATGGCGAGGGCTTTCGCCAGACACTGGGACCTCCGTTTGGGCAGTGTTGCTGCACAGCAGGCAGGTGGGCTGGAGACCCTGAGCAAGGGTCCAGAGAGAGTCTTCTCTTCTGGGAGGGCTGTGGCTCCCCTCACACATGTGGACCATGCACATCTTTCAAGCTACAGGTCCCTGGTCTGTCTAACAAGGAGACCTTCACAAGGATGCGGTAACGTGTTCATGTAGAAAAGATCAGGTGTAGAGGGGAAGCATCTGTACAGGCCTGCAAAGGATGGAGGGGCCGAAGTCTGGTCTTTGAGGGAGCATCTTCCCAGGCTCTGGCAGGACCGACCCAACCCAGAGCTGGATCCCCACGGGGATCGGACACCACTGTTACCTCCCCCTGCACCTCTGCGGCTGCAATGGCGTATCCAGAGAAGTCCTCCCAGAGAAGCAGCGTTTCTTCTGTCTCCTCCCACGTGAGGCTGTCGCAGTCATCCTCAAAGTCATACTCCCTCCTGGGGGCAAGGGAACAGCACGTCAGCACCCAGCAGGGAAACCCCAGCAAGGCCGGGGGCTGTGACGGTGCCGAAAGCCTTGCCCTTCCTCACGGGCAGGGCGACAGCTCTCGGAGGTCTGGCCAAGGTGAGTTCAAGCGTGCCCAAACCCAACAGTTGGTGGGAAAGGGGCTGGCTTTATAGTCAGGAGCCCCGGCAAATTCAAGCAGGGACTCCTGAAAGGCAGGAAGGTGGAAAAGGGGGGGAAAGAGGAGGGGAGCTGGACCTGCTCCCACCCACGGCACGGGTGGGCTCAGGTCTCCCAGAGGGCCAGTCCCACCGCACCACAGAACACAGGGTGTGCGTACCCTGCAGCAGCACCTCCCATTTTGCCTTCCCCGGGGAAGGGGATCCACAGCCCACTCCTGCCCTCCCCATCCCAGGCTCCGGCAGGGAGCCCGGTGCTGGAGCCTCGCTCAGCGCCAACAGCAGAGGTACAGAGCAGCCGCACTCACAGCTGGTTCAGCATCCTCTGCATTTCCTCATTGATACTCATGGCTGTGGTCTCATCCTCCTCTTCCTCTTCGGGTTTTCGGGAGGCATCGCTCTCCGACAGTGACGTGTCTTCGTCGCTGACCTGCTTGCGCTCCCGCTTCCGCCCCACCGAGGCTGGGACCTTAACGGGAGACAAGTGCAGAGACTACAGAAACGAGGCCGGGTCCGAGGTCGGGGGCAGGTAGTTGGGAGAAGATGGAGGGGAAAAGGAATGGTGGAGGGACAGAAAGGCAGGGAAAGAGCGAAAGAGAGAAAGAAAGAAACGAAGAAAGGAAGAAAAAAGAGAGAAAGAGAGAGAGGGGCTTATTATGATCAGGCTAAAAGATGGTGCAATGGATAAAACATGGTTTTAGCATTTTCTAAAATTAAAACTAAGCAACTAAAGATGGAATCTATGAATCCGATGAGAAAAAACAACGTGGTTTTACTGCAGAATAACTCAAATTGCCCACCACCCCAGTCCAGAGACAGGGAAACACAGTGACAGAAACAGGAAAAAAGAGGCAGAGTCTGAAAAAGGTGAAGTATGTCAATATTTACAGTCCGACCTTACTTATAGAAAATTTAAAATCTGTACACTTTCCCAACTGAATGGAACTAACCAGTTGCTTCTGTAGGGACAAAGAGAGCAAGACAGAAAGGCAGCAACATCCAGAAAGAGAAAAAGAGACAGAGACAGAGAAGAGAGACATAGAGAAGATGACGGAGAGGGGAAGGGGAGGGAGAGAGATGGAGTTAGAGACAGACACTCAAGCAACTCGTCTCCCTCCTGCAGCTGCTCCCCTACCACTGTGGGGTCCCCGGGCTCGACGCAACAGGTCAGCGAGAGGTTGAGGGGACTCTTGATGCCCAAAACAACATCTGGAGATTTCCACCTCCTCTCCGTGCCCTTCTGCCTGGTCCTCCCAAGAGAGACAGAGAGCAAGGGACCACAAGGAGCAAGGGTGAGGGTGACCAAGTGTCTCCCCTAGCAGGGGCTGGTGTTGCTTCTTCTACCTCCTCCAAGAACTCTCCTCCCCGGGGCTGGCAGCGGAGCCGGGAGCAGCAGCAGGCACTTCTCACCTGAAACATCTTGATCATGTCCTCGCAGTTCCGCTGCTGTGCCACATCGCACAGCTTGGCAGTGATGTCGATGCGCCGGCAGATGTCCATGTCCACCTTCATGGCCTTCTCCTGGATCTTGGTGTCCAGCTCCGTGATGTTCTGAACCCACAGCACCGCAGGAGGGGGGAACAAAGGAGGAAGATTAGGCAAGGGGAACAGCAGTCAGGGCCCCCCCCATTCTTTCCTTGTGCTGCAGGACTGCATCCACATCCCCGCTTTGCTCGCTGCACCCTGGACCAAGCCTGCCAGACCACCTCTGCACTGCACGTGCCCCACCACGGAGCTGCTTTGCTACGCAGCCCCAAAGCTTGGGTAGACACTGCTGCTGGGTGGGAGAGGGGTTAGGGACTCACGTTGCTCATCAGTCCCTTGAAGACAACCAGCTCGGCCTTGAGCTGCTCCACCTTCATGGCCAGTTCCTCCTGGCAGGCTTCAGCCTCCTGGGCTTCCTGCCCCGCGGCAGAGAGAGATGTGCAAATCAGCATCAGCACGGGGCGGGGGGCAGCCGGGGGTCTAGGGGAAGGGGGGACACAGCAATGCTTACCTCCTGCAGCTCAGTCACCCGGTCCTGAAGCTGAACGCGCACCGTGTACTCCTCTTCCCATCTAGGGAAACAAATGCACGGGTCAGATCCCACCGGCCTCACCTCACCAGCTGCCAAAGGGAGAGGAGGGAGCAGCAGCTGCTCGCCCCAGAGCTATCTGAGAGCAGGGGGATGACGGCAGAGGGGTTGGGAAGAAGAACATGCCCAGGAATGCCTTGCCGCTTCTTTCCAGACAACAGCAGCTGCCAAATGCCCACCGCGCCCCCCGCCCCCCAAGCCACGAACCCTGCCCCACCACGCTCTCCGCTGTCCCTGCTGTGTGCTGGCCAGGGCTGCCTGCTCCACAGCGGGGCGAGCTGGGGACACCAACCGCAGGCTCCACACGCCCTGCCACCCTGGGGCTGGCCGGCAGGCTGACCAGCCTCTCCACCCGCCCCTAAGACCCTTGGGTCACATTAGGTTCAGCTCCAACCCTCAATAACGGGCTTGCAGATACCGCAGAGTTGCCCCCCCACCCCCGCCCCCCGCGTCCTATCTGCGACAGCATCTGCGTGTCTGCAGCGTTGCAGTCCAGGCTGCCCAGAAGCACGAAACCCATCTTAATACTCAGCGCGAATGGCCATGATGTGTGCCAACACGACGGGCTGCTCTCTTGCTGCCTGTACCCACGCCCTGCACCGGCCACGCTCCCCAGGCAGGGGCACAAGCCCCCTTGGCCGCATGACAGGTCGTACTAAAGAACACTGTTTCACCCTACAAGGAAGCAGGGTGAACTGCCCCAAATTTATGCCGCGATGGCCAGCGGGTACCGTATTAGGCTCTGCAGCTCCGCAAAAAGGCTGAGCTGCAAGGTGCCCGGCCTTGCTATACAAAGACACATCGCCTAGCAATTATTATATTTTGCTGCATGAGATCATCATCTTGGGCCACGCCGCGGTGTTGGCCCAGTCCGTGGTCTGCTGGGACGCCACCAGGCTGTGCTGCTCTTTGCTAATGACTATCCCATCGAGTAGATGGTTTGGCACGCGCTGTGGCGCATTCTTACCCGCCCCTGGCTCTTCTGGGAAAGCCAGATTTCTCCGAGAAAGCAGAATTTCTCTGGGCCCTGCCTGGCGCTGTCATCTCCAGTTTCTATTTAATGCTTATAAGCACTAACACAGGCACTGCAACTCTGCACAAGGACGTGAAAAATCTCTCTTCTTGCTCACTCACACCAAGTTTGAAAAATAAATCCTAAGGTTTGGGAGACCAAAAAGCATATGAAAAGCCCTCACACTTGTTATCTCAGGGTATCAGGACAATCTGACGATGTGGGAGAGTCCTGGCTCACGAATTTCTAAGCTCTTAACGTTGGCAACGCTACCCATTACTCAAACAAGGACAAAGCGTGCAGTCCTTGTGTTGGTGTTGGCTCCATACCACAGCTACAGAAGGGGAGTCAAAGGAAGTTCCCATCCCTTTGGGGGAAGAGGGAGACAAATAGAGAGGGAAGGAGAAAGTTAAAAAGTAGAACTGCCCTAATTGCCCTTATATGGGAACTGTTCAAACAAGGCCTCCCTCCCTAGGGAGAAAAACGTCTTCCACCCTTAAAAAAAAAAAAAAACAATTTTCAGCATCTTTCTCGGCATGGCACTCCCTCTCCTTTTTGGTCCCCGCCTCCTTCCGGGTCTCTACATAGCCTGGACTTACTGGGGAAGTAAAGCACAGCTGCAAATCCTTGGGAGAATTCATTTCACACCAACGCTATGGAAAATAAGCGCAGATCGGATAAACACCAGTTCAAAGGCAGGAGGCCACAGCGATTTACGAATCCGCACGCCCAACCGTTAGGAACCTCTCTGCCGCTCGCTCGCCTCCTGCCTGGCTCCTTCTTCCCCGCTCCCTCCTGCAATGCACCACTCCTAATAATAACCTGCCTGCAGCACCGCACCCGCAGCCCGGGGCGGCCAGCGGACGCTGCCAGGTCACTGCTGGCTAGAAGCAAGGCTGCCCCACACCACAGCCACCGGTGCCCGCCAAGGGGAGACGCGCATCCTTCCTGCACTGCCACGAGGCAGCAACCTGCCCGAAGGCTGAAATACAGAGGGCAGAGAGCGAGGGCGGGGGGGGGGGTGGGGGTGGTTCCCAGCAGCAGACAGACCCGGCCGTCTCCTTGCTGGCCACAGGCCAGCCCTCCCGAAGCTGGGGATGTGACAAGCTGCAGTGCTGTCCCTACAGCCCAGATGTGTCCCCTCAAGAAATTCACTTAGCAAAACAAACCAACACCACCCCACCCCCCCCCCCAATCTTTAAAAATCCTGTTCACCGCAAAAGGCACTGGGGTACCCGAGCCTATGGTGCACAGTTAGCGCACGCTGGTGCTGCAGGGCACACTTGGGGCTGCCCAGGGCTTGAAGCTGCACGTTTCCCTCTCTTGTCGTGTCTGAGCTATGTTTGAGCTTCACCTTAACGGTGAATGCCCTGAAACCCAGCGCACCTCCTTGGAGGGCAATTACAACAAAAGACGCAGACTTTCAATACATAAAGGAGGCTTATAAGAAAGATGGAGAAAGACTTTTTACCAGAGACTGTAGTGACAGGACAAGGGGCGATGGTTTTAAACCAAGAGAGGGTAGATTTAGACTGGATGGAAGGAAGAATTTTTTTTTATGATGAGGGTGGTGAAACACTGGAGCAGGCTGCCTGGAGAAAGGACGGATGCCCGATCACTGGAAGTGTTCAAAGTCAGAGCGCTGAGCACCCTGATCTGGTGAAACCCCATGGCAGGGGATTGGACCAGATGATCCTTAAAGGTCCCTTCCGACCCCAACCATTCCTGTGACTCTAACGCACTGTGCCATAACACCACTCGCCCCACACCTCCAGCGTGTCCTTGCGGCACCCCAGATGAAAACTACTTGGGAATACAGACACAGCAGACAGCACAAACCTGAGGAGACTCTCAGATTCCCTAGTGCTTGGGTCTGTATGATACTCGCAGGCACCCTTTGCCTCTCTCCATGCCACCCAGCCTCAGCCTGCTCCTCCCAAGCGCGGCTCCTGAGAGCCTCTCCCCTGCTGCTACACCTCTCCTCATCCCTCCCTATTGCCCTACACCCTTCCCAGATCCCAGACACGAATTTCAGGCCCTGCATATCCAGAAAGAAGCTCCTCCTGCTGCACCACTCCAAGCGCCGTGGGGTGCACGGTGGCAACGCGCAAGAAACGCGCAACACGGAGAAAACGCAAGCTCAAGCACCCAGGCCACAGGTCAGAGAAATGGGAAGTCTTGGGTTAACACAGCCTCTTCCCTCTGCCCCTGGGCAGGTGGCAAAGGGGTGACACCAGTCACACTGGCCCCAAGGCAGATCCAGAGTCTGCCATGGCAGGGAGGTCTCTGCTCCTGGGAGATGTCGGTGCCAGGCCTCAGCATGGGGAAGGGTGTGGAAATGGGATCCTCTTGTCCCATTCCCCTGTTTGGGACCTGGCTGCACCCATCAGAAAGTTCCCGGTGCCGGAAAGGGTCTGGGGGGTGGGGTCCGCTTTCCCCCAGCTCCTGGCAACACAGTCCAAAAATAGATCCCACCAACAACATTGGCCCGCAGCAGTTTGTGGTGCCACCCTGCCTGCCCCCAGCATTCCCACGCCCTCCGTCACCCACCCCGCAGCCTGCCCCACAGCCTGCCGGCCCGAGCGGGACAACCCCAAAAAGCTCTCCTTTCTCCCAAAGTTTCAGCAGCACTGACAAACCCAACTTAGTCCTCTCTGTGGCTGACCCACTTTGAGCAGGTGAGGCTCGAGCCCTCTGGGCCAAAAAGGTGGCTCCAGCTCCCCACTGTCTGAGCTGAAAATGCAAGGCAAGGAGAGCTGGCTGCCCCTGGAGAAGGAGCCCGATCCCTGGCTCAATAATAAAAGGCCTTCGGTACACACGGCAATCAGTGGGAAAGAAGAGATGCCAACTCTTCCTTTCCACGTGCCTTGCTCAACGCCTTTGGAGAGTCTGACAGACAAGTCTGCTCAGCCAAAGCCTTATAAAGCCAAAAACTTAAGGTGTCATCTTGGATCCCCAGCCTTGATCTTGGCACCAGAGCCCCTGGCTGTGAAGCACAGGTCAGTTGCATGGCTCCAGTGAGTAGAGCACACCATTTTGCTCCTTCGGGTACGTAATCAGTTACTTTCTAATTGCTTCTAAAGCATCACAAAGTGACTTCTGGAAAAAAAAAAAAAAAAAAAATCATCAGTCATTCGAGTGGTGTCGGTCACCAGCGATGGTCTCGCCCAGCCCTGTGCCCTGACCCAGCGACACCAGCCCCCTGACTGATCGCACCCTACGTGCGGATCTGGGAGCGGCCTCGGAAACGGGCGTGAGACAAAAGCACCGCCGGTGCGATGCGAGAGCGGCAGCCGCCCCGCACGGGAAAGAAGAACCGGCCAAGAGATTAGCTTTGCATTCTGTTTCGCCCTGCTCCTAGGCACACGCCAAGTTGCTGCTATTTTGGGTCGGGAGGAAAGCCCCTGAGGAGTGGGGTGCTCCTGCTTGCCTCGCTGCTGCTGAGGCGCTGGCTGGGAGAGCACTGGGAAGAGAAGGGGCCCAGGGGAGCCAGCCACCCTACCGAAGGGCTGCTCGGCACCTTCCTACGTATCCAGACTACTCTCCTACCCCAACAGCCTTTTCCAACCCAAACCTGCTCACCGCTGCACGTTCCCGTTCCTTACCCACCTTCGGGCGGCTCCTCCTTCCCAAGTGTTTCCAGATCCCCTCCCCTTTCAAACACCAGCTCCCGGAGTCGCGTTATTCCTTCCCCGCTCGGAAAAGCGTTTCCAGCCTCTCGTGACGGGTCGGGGTAAGGTGGCATGAAAGTGCAGCAAGCACCCCCGAGAGAGTTCAAACACCGAGAGGCGAGCGGGGAGACCCGGGTGCAGACAAATGCTTCCAGGGGTCCACGTTTTTGCCTTACGCTTGCCTCGCCTCCCAGCCCTCGCTCCCAGGAAGCCAGGCCAGGGCTGCCTCTCCTCCCCCGACAGCTTCTCCCACACCTGCGGCCTCCCCGGCGATGGTGGCAGTCCCTCGGGGGGGGGGGTTGAGGGGGGGGGGTGCCCTCACTCCCACCGTCCCTTCTCACCTGCGCTTGTACTCGTCGCGCTCCCTCTTCACCTTGGCCAGCACGTTGTAGAGGGCCCGGATCTCCGGGGTGATGGTGTCGATCTGCACGCCCACCCCGTCCGGGTGGACCCAGGAGACCCCCGGTCCCTGCACCAGGGTGGTCTCCGGCCCGGGGCCGAGCCGTCGGGCTTGCGAGAAGGACCAGATGGTGCCGGGCATGAAGCGGGAAGCGGCCGGGAAGGGAGGAGGAGGCGCCGGGCCGGGGGCGCCGGGGCGGCAGCCGGGGGAAGCCGGCGACCGGGCCGGCGCCAGCCCCAGCCCCAGCCCCAGCCCCAGGGTGCGGATGGGGCCCACGAAGCCGGTCTGCACCGCCTGGTCGCGGCGCGGGGGTCCCCGGCCCCGGCTCCCCCCGCCGCCCCCCTCCTCCAGCGCCTGCTGCAGCTGCTTCTCCAGCTGCCGGTTGCGCCGCTCCAGCTCGTGGACCTTGGCCAGGAAGCAGCGGAACCGCAGGTTCAGCGTCTTCAGGACGCTGATGTTGGAGCCCAGGTCGTTGCGGAGGGCCATGGCGGCGGGCGGCGCGGGGAAGGGGCTGGCGGGCGGCGGGGCGGCCAGCTCCCCCCCCAGGGGCTCGGCGGGGCGCGGGGCGGGCGGCGGCGGCAGGTCGGGGCCCGGCAGCCCCTGCTGCTCCTGCGGCAGGAGGAAGAGGTTGGGGCCGAAGAGCGGGTTCATGGCGGCTGCGGGACGGGGAAAGAGGGGCACGGCGGTGGGGGGGGGGGGGAGCCGGGGCCGCCGGCGCCAATCAGGGGCGCGGCGGGGGGGGCGGGATGCGCCGGGGGGGCAGCGCCCGGGCCGGGCCCCGGCGGCGGCGGGGGGGGGGGGGGGTGCGGCTTCCGCTGCGGCGGGGATGCGGCGGCGGGGCCGGAGAACCCGCTCCCCCGCCCGGCCCCGCGCCCCGCCGGCCGGCCCCGGGCGGAGCGAGCGGAGGAGGGGACAGGGAGGAAACCTCCCTTCTCTCCTTCCCTTCCCTTCCCACCCGCGGCCCGGCCCCCGCGGAGGGGGGGGGGGGGGGGGGGTGCTGCGCTTCGCCGCGCTCAGCTCCGGCGGGTTTCGGGGCTCCCCAGGGCGGGGGGACGGGGCACGGCCCGGCAGCAGCGGGGAAGGGGCCCCTCTCCGGCGCCGGGCACCGATTCCCGTCATCAACCCAGCACCAACCCAGCGCGCTTTTTCTTTTTTCTTTTCTTTTTTTTTTTTTTTTAAAATTGTTAGTATTTTTTGCACAGCTTTCCCCAGTTTTGCCCCCCCCCGTTATCCTCACTCGAGCCCCCCTCCGAAGGCAGCGCTGCCCCTGCTCCGTCAGCAGCCCGCCTACGGGGAGCTGCCACCAGACAATGGCGAGCCAGAGCGCGGGGGGGGGTCGTGCGGAGGCAGCCAGCCTCTCATCTCTCCTGCTCGGCTTGCCACTGGATTTTTCCTTCGTTGTTCACAAAGCAGCCACGGGTTTTGTTTCCTGCCCCCTCTTTTGGTCTTCTTTAGGTCATGTCCTACAGTCTCCCCACCTCAGCCCAACATCGATGTTGCAAAAAGCACCGGCATGGTCCCTCACCCCATTATCCGGGGTGATCGAGATCGAGCAATACGTAAACATTTACGCATCTGGACACCCGTGTTACCTGGCTGTCTGTGTGCTCATGACCCATTCCCCCCGGACTCCCACTGCACAGCCGAGTGGCACTTGCTCAAGCTGGGCCCTCAAGATCTCAGCGGACCTGTCAGCGAGGGACGAGCGAGCAATGGGTTTGAGTTAAAGGAGATGCCCAGCGGTGCACCACACTGAACTCTGTGGCAGGAGGCGGGCAGGCTCTAATGGGCTGGTGCGCTGCAGCATTTTCCTTAGGATCTGAGCTATGGCTCAGTCCACGCTTCCAGAAATTTCCCGGACCCACTAAGGGTGACCAGTGTGGGGAGTCTGCCTATTGCACTTTTGCTGCTGGTTCTCCTCTAAGCCTGCAGGGCTCCTCCATCCCTCCATTACTCTTCTGCCTTCCTTGCCTGGGAGCAGACCGAATCAAATTTGTTCCAGTCTCCTGCCATGGCGTGTCCAGCATCAGTTTTGTCCTGTGACCCGCCTGTCTCCCCTGTAACTCCAGGCTTCCTACAGCAGCCCCCATTTGCATTTTTAACACCTCCTCTCTCACTGATAACCTGACTGCATCCTCCCTGGCACACGCGTGACTGCTGGAAGTCATAACTGGGTTTCAGTCCCTCCCATATGGGTTTAGGGGGGGGGGAAATGAAGTGAGCTTTCCTTCTTCCGTCATCTCCTTTTTAACATTTTTCCTCCTCTCAGGTGACTGTTCCCTTGCTCTGCCTCTGACCAGGGAGGCTGAGCCACAGCAAGCAGCGCTTTTGTCAAGGAAGGGGAGGGCAGGAAGGCTTTCCTCACAGACTGGTGCAGGAGATCCCCCGTCTTCCCCAAACCCTCACTGCAACAGCAGCCGGACGGGAGCCATGCACCCAGCAGCAATATTACCAAATAAACAGCCAGGGAAAAGGGAAGGACAGAGGGACAAGAGGGATCCCAGTCAAGAAGCTTGTTTGAAGCAGCAGCAACAGCTCCAGCTGAGAGACCTCCCAGCCCATGCCCTGGAAAGCATCGCCGACTCCCTCCTGTGTGCTGCCATGTCCCTTCACGCACTCCCGTGCTGCTGCAGCCTGTCTGCATGCATGGCCCCCCGCGTTTTCTGCCAGCATCCTCCCCCCTCGCGTGCCGCTGGGTTTGCCCCCCCAGACCTGCCAGCCCATTTGCAAAACCCAAGCAGGGCCAGGCAGCAGGGAGCACAGGCAAGGGCAAGGCCACAAACCATGGAGCAAGCACTTTCCTAAGCTCTGCTTGGCCTGCTTCTGTCCTGCCGGGGAAACCTGGTAAGCATTTATTGATTAATGAAATGCCAGTGGAAGAAGGCATTGCCATCCATCAAGAAAAGCTTTTTCACCGGGAGGCCAGCACAGCACTGGAGCAGGTGGTAGGATCTCCATCCTTGGTGGTTCTCAGGGCTCAGCTACGCAAAGCCACAGCCACGCGACCTAGTGCTGGGACAGTCCTGCTCAGAGCGAGGGGCTGCGCTAACGACCTCCAGCACCTCTTCCCACCAACACTCCTGTCTCCTGGAAAAGAAAGGGCAAGGTAGGGCCTCCTTTTTTTTTTTGTCCATAGCTTGGGATAAAGGATGACTCCTCATGCCTAAGGTGGCTTGGGCAAAGGGCCGACCTCTTCTAGTTAACTCCTGAAGAAGCTCAGAGCCTAGACACAATCCTACCCAGGGAACCACAGTGCTCCTCCATTGGGCCTCAACTTCACCCCAGCACAACAGCTCTCCCTCCTCAGCTTTCCCTCTTGGTTTACCAAAACCCCTGGCATTTCTCCAGATCCTCCAACAGCTCCTGCCCTGAGTTTATTAGCTCAGGTTCAGCAGTGGCACTGCTGGACCCCAGCTGCTGAGGTGCTGAGCTGCTTCCTCCACCTCACTGCAGCTCTTAAAATTGTACCTGTAGCCAACACAAGAATAGATTCTTATTCACGGACATGCTGATATTTATCTTCCACAGATTTTAAGGCCGAGAAAGAACTGCTGCATTTTCTGATCCTGTGCAAAACACACGGTGCAAAATTCTGTAGCTCAAGTCAAGTACTTGTGTGGGACTGTGACTCTAGTTGCTGACAGCATGGTAAAAAGAGATTAAGCCTCTACCACTACCCTTCACGGACAGATCAAGATAGATGCCCCAGGTGGATAACCACTTATTAAAATCACACGCCTTCCCTTGCCTTGCCTCTTATTTGAATTTGCCTAGCTTTATCATCCATTGCCAGCTTGAGATGCTTCCCCTCTCCCAGATCACAGAACCTCCTACCAGCTAATGCATCCTCCTTGAAAAGGTGCTTTCATATGCGAAACCTGTTCACGTTAGCCCCACAGCTTTCCTTGAGACTCTTTTTTTTTAAGGCATAGGCCACATTAGTGTGTCTACCCCACCTCCCTGCTCTTCTCCTCTCTGAAGACCCCCAGCACTACCTTCTCCCTTAAACCACACTGCTGGAACATTTCAGCGTAAACTCTCCAAGTCTTCCACTTTCTAGGATGCCTCGCTAAAACCAACCCATAAAATTGCTTCTATCATGCAGATGCTGCAATGAACAGATGACTTTTGGGCACCCTGCTGCCTAGCAAAGCCAGCAACCCAGTTGGCTGCCTAGATTTGGGTGCAAATGGGGAGAAATTGGCACAGGGGAGCAGCTGCCAACAGAAGCTTGGTGATCACCACACAGAAGCGTCCCTGTCTAACAGCAGAGGAGGGAATGGATTTTCTTTTTAAAAAACAGTCCAGGGGGGAGTTTTGTAGCCAGATCTTGCATGTGAAGGAAGTGCTATGTACTACAGCCAAGAGCCAGAGACCTAACTGACCTTACTCTTCTCATCAATTCCTCATTGACTACATCAGGCAGGCGTCCTCTCTGGGGGCTCTCCGCATCCGCCCTAGCAGGGATGGACAGCTTCTTGGGGGAGCAAAACCTACTGATGCGAGCTTGGTCATTTGTGCATTCAGCCCCTACAAAAAGTGGCGTGCATATCTAGGGGGTTATGTGCAACAGAACACGTGCTCAAGGATTTAATTTTGTACCCAAGTCTCCGAAACGTGCGGCGCAGGATTTCAGTCCCTTCCTCTGGGTAGAGCCTGATATGAGACGGCACAAGCCCAGGCTGCCTGCCTGGCACGGAACAGACATTACAGCGCGTGACATCCCTGCAATTAGTGACCGACCCACATTGCTACTTCTCTTTCCGTTCTGCGCCATCGTCCACAGAAGCCTTCGGTTTCCTTCCTCGGCCGGACCGAGGGTGCCCCAGCCCCAGCGCCCTCCCTGTCCCTCCTGGCGTGCAGAGGTGACCTGGCAGCACTCCCGAGCCTGGCAGGCAGGAGTTGCCAGCTGACCACCTTAATTGTACCCTGCTAAGCCTTCCCTGATAGACTCACCCCTTTCCGTTTGGGAAGAAGGGTTTGAAGAATTGCCACTGGATTAAAGATCTTACAACGTGCATATTTCTGCTGGCAGTCATTAACACAGAACCTCACCTCTTCCATGCATCAGGTTTGCTTTGCATGCTTCTGGCCTTGTTTGCCCTAAATAACTTCACAGCGTGTGGCAACTCTGTTACAGAACTGGTTACCCATTTTTTTTTTTTTTTTTTCTCCAAGTCATTAAATACCACCCCAGTAACATTTGTGTACAGTACAGATACCACAACACATTTCAATGACTTCTCTCAACCAGCTTTTAATTTACGGGGGCTTTTTTATTCTTCAGATCTGCTTTCAACGCTTGCTTCACCTCAGTTCCTGCTTTGCTCTGCCCCAGCTCTCACAAGCCACATTAGCAGCAGCTTTCAGATGTTCAGATACATTAAAGGGAGGTACTGAAAGATCCAGTAGTCACACTTTCAAAAAATCTCAGCTTTCAGGTAACAAAAGATCCCCAGACTAAGAAGGCAGCTGCAAATGTAGGTCTGGTGTGACCAGCAGCCTCATACCAGACGCAGAGGGAAGCCACCAGCCTTTGTCCCCAGCTGCTGGATCCCTAGTAGTGCCTCTGAAGCCTGATGGCAGCATTTCAATGGCACATTCGACATTATCCCTCTGAGCAGTGATAACCGCCGTTGCCGAAATAAAAAGCAGAAGGGAAGCAAAGCACCAAAGAGAGCTGAAAGTTTCCTCTGTCTCTCCCCAGCTATCACAAAAGGTTTGCAGGCAAGAAAAGCAAGTGGAACGATGCTCAGTAAGAGACAAGTTTTACTGACGTGGTTAAAGCAGCATCTGTTCACATCTTTCAGAGGGGACTGACATAATGTGGAGATCCACTAGAAACTAGACAGCGGCACTGGGATCCCAGCCAAGAACTTTCTGCCCCTGCTGCCGGGGTTATCAAGAGAAACTAGTTATCAAGCTGAGGCTATATGCTCAGCATAGGCGGCAGCAGCAAAGTGGGGCATCGCTCCCAAAAGTACAGGCTCACAGCTTGCCAGAGGTAAAAGTCCCTCTGGGTACCAGTCACCCTATAGCTGGAAGATCGCCACACAGCTCCAATTTTGAGTTGTATGCTAAAATCCTGTATTGCATCACTCCTGGGGAAATCCACTAGAGCTGGAAAAGAAATAAGGCTGGAGGAGCAGAGGCAGGGCTCGGCCCACCTGAAAGCAGCTGCTGTTGCCACAAGCAGTGCTGCATGCCTTGTGCAGTGAGGACCCGCCTGCGGGAAACGAGGTGCTAGGCAGAGCTTGGGACTTACCTTGGGAGCACTAAGGGGCTGGCACAGCAGTGGGGCCGTCGCCCAGGGACACAAGAACCACTAAACTGGGTCAGACCAATGGTCCATCTAAGCCCAGGAATCAGTTCCCAGCACAGGACGAGGACAGAGGGGTTTGTGACCAGGACAAGCAAGCAGCCACCCCTCCTCGCGACGCTCTCCCACCCTCTGGCAGTTCACAGCTCATGGATCTTCTGAGCCAGTTGCGTTTGCCAGCCCTTACAATAAACATTTCTCCCTCGTGCATTAAGCTGGAGTTTCAACCTGTATAAGCTTCCAGCATCTGCCATACCCTGCAGAAAGGAGGTTCACAGCTATCTATACCTTTGCTGCATTTGATTGGCCCTAGCGTTTTGCTTTTTTGTGTTTATCACAAAAGAGCAAGCAGTTGTTCCCCATTCATCTTCTCCATCACTTTTTTCCCTGTGGTCTCTTTCATAAGCTTGAAGAGGCCTAGACTCTAGGTGTTCCGCTCACAGAAACCATTCCGCAACTTATTCTCCCTGAATATTTTCCAGTTTTACAATCCTTGTTCAGATGAAGGGCACTAGAAAAGCAGTATTCATGGTGCATGTACAGGGAGGTAATTTTATACAGGGAGGCGATCATTTTATCCATTTTGCCATCTAGTAATTCCTTTCCTAATAACACCTATAATTTGTTTAGTCGTTCTGAAAGATCCCAGAAAAATTCCCTCAGGTCCTGTATGTCAGGCAATCCAGAAACCTCACCACACAAGCCTGGAGTGAGATGGTCGCGTTCAGAGGCTCCTCCCTGCCCTAATTCACTGGGAAGCACAGGGAGAAAGTAATTCTGAGCTGTAAGGATATTTGATGAATGGCTATTGAACACAAAAAGACAAAGTCAATCCCCCACCAAAACAGAGTTATAATAAACTAAGCACACAGATACGCAAGCCCTAAAAAGCAGAAGATAACATGGGCTGTAACAAAGGCCGGGACTCCTGAGGCACTGACAGATTGAACCGTTACAGGAACCACTCAAGCGCGACCTTGAAGAGCGTCAGATAGAAACTTCACAACTGATAAGAAAGCAAAATTATCGTGGGCGTGGAGAGGAGGAATAAATAGAAAGGGTCGGTCACACAGAGGCTGTGTCTGGCCAAGCCCTATACCTGATTACCACCATCTGTCCCAGCCTCGTATTAAACTAATCCTAGTAATTTCATCTGCATGTGTGTGCACTTGTGACCCGCTGGCAAACCACAAGCTGGACTAGCCCCTAAAGTAGGGTAAGAGGCCTGTGAGCCAGACACAGGGCAGACCACAAGTCCAAGGACCAGCTACCAGCAATCCATGGAAGTGTGTGCACGCAACCCAGAAGCACGCCCGCGGTTGGATGGGCCAGAGAGTGAGAACAGGATTAGGACTTTTTTGCCATTCGTGTTTTGTGAATGCCATTTTTTTTTTCCTGGACACCCGCCGCAGCAATTTTCTTTGGTTTCTGCTAGTTGGTCTGCATCTGGTTGCATCTGCAGCATGTATGCCTGCATCTGAGGGGGTTTCTGGAGTTCACACTCAGCCTCACCCCTCGCTGAACATGGTAACATGGGAAAGCAGCAGCCTGGCAGGTAGCAGACCAGGACAGACAGGATTCTTTAGATCCTACAGTCCACTGCGTTCAGCTGTCCTTAACACCAAACACTGGAAGAGCGCAAGTTCTTCCATGAACCCAAAGCTGGGTGAGGAAAACGGACCAAGGCAAAGCCTCATGTGAGCTGCGCTAGCAAGACATTTACAAAAACAGGAGTTGGGCCTCAGGTCTGTTACACACCCAACTCCACGCACACTGTGGTGGAACAGAAGCTGGAGAGCACACATGGTAGAAAACTTATTAACGAATTGTCTCTAGAAAAAGATTTATTCACTGGAGAGCAGAACCAACAAAAAGAATATCAACTCACAGTGACAAGGGAACGGGACCTGGGCTGATGTTTAAATAGAAACGGCCCAGACCACTACTTGTTACGTCTCAAGGAGAAGCAATATCTAGGTGAACAAAAAGAAAAAATGGGCATTGTGCAGCTCCAGGACCAGCAGCAATCCCTGCTGCTGTCTGGGAAGCCAAGAACCAAAAGGCTGCTGGGGACCAGCACAAGGGTGAAGCGGGGACAATCACAACGGCGAACTGAATTAGAACACAGTGACAATATGGAACTAGGGACCACTGCTGGCCTAGGAGCTCCAGCCCCACCCTGACCAAGCTCTCTGCTGCCAGGCACCACACAATACAACCTTCATCCAGGCCGCTGGGGTTTCAGCTCCCACTGCTTCTTCACAGACACCCGTGTTGCAGAGCGTAAGAACAGATACCAGAAATGCCAGAGCATCAGATGGGAGCGGAAGGAGTTTCAGTTGCAGAGGAGGAAGGGGACATGGCAGAATTCTGCCTGCTGTGTTTAAGGGAAAAGGACAAGACTTGAGCAAGAGTATAAAACTTTTAATGGGTCAGTGCATCAGTCCTTGATGCAGAGGGAAAGGAGCAAATGGGGCTATCGCTGGCCCAGGTGCTCAGTGCTGCAGAGATTATATGCACAGATCAGGAAAGAGAAGGTGGTACACTCATGGCTGCAGCAGTCCCCGGCCTTTGCTCTCCAAGGAGGGGACCAACACCTGGAAAAACAGTTCCTCTCACCGTCCATTTGGTTTCATTCTGTGCTTCTTCCTGGTGGGGACTTGAGGATGCACCATTTTGGTAGAAGGCTGGCCAGCCTTCAAGGGTCTCCTCTGTGCCTGCAATGCATGTCTCTTCTTCAAAGCAGGCTGTGGCGGCTTCTGCAATTTGTTAACTTTTGATCCCTCAAGTTTCTTTTTTTTTGGCTGAGGCTCCACGACAGTATCAGGGACAGCAGATGGAGTTGCTGCTTCCACAGTGGGTTCTCCATCTGAAACAAGAGAGAAAGGCGCTGTAAGAAGAGCCCGCATGGCTTCTGCAGGGAAAGCAGCCTGGGAGAGCAGGCCCAGACAGCCCAGCTGAGCTCCAGCACTGCATTACCTTTTTGTGCCTGGGGGATGGCATTAGAGAATTTCTTGAACTTGGCAATGAAGAACCCATCCATATTGTGCGTGTGGGGATAGAAACGTCGTGTAGACTTGAGGGAGGGGTGGAAGCGACGGTCCTTGAACCTGGAGGAGGAAGTGGGGTGAGAAGTGATTGAATGCCCTCTGCTCAAACCTGGCTACCAAGGAAGAGTCACCTGCGCAGCTTGTGCTGGCACACACCTGGTGAAGCCTTCCTTGCCAAAGTCCAACCCTGTGGCCACCAAACGAACGTTGCGTTTCTTCAGGGCATAATCCACAACCCACTCATTCTCTTCCACCTGCCAGAGACTAAGCATCAGGATCCAAAACTCACCAGTCCCCCTGCACAGGGGATGACCACAGCAGAGCACGGAGGGGACTTACCATGATGGAGCAAGTGCAGTAGACTATGTAGCCCCCTGTCTCTGAGGCAGCATTGGCCGAATCTATAGCACTAAGAATCAGCTCCTTCTGCAGGTGAGCACAGCGCAGGATGTCTTTCTCATCCTGAAAGAGAAAGATAGGTTAGGATGCCAGAGGTGCAGGGAAGCACCCCAGGGCTCTGCTGTGGATGGAGGGATGACAGGAGAGCAAAGCACATACGATATAGAAGATTCTGGAGCCTTCTGCAGAACTGACCTCAAAAAACTCAGCTCTGATACAACATGCAGAATCGAGAAGGAAAAATCGGTGT